AATAGAATGTTCAAATCTTGTGTGAACACCACCAGGATACACATAATATACTCCACCTAAAATCATAAGTACATGTAATGACTCAGTACCAGTAGTATTATGATAGTTCAGACTCACCAAATTGTCTGATCTTCCTCAGTCTCTGAAATTCTGGTCTGTCAATAATCTTAAACAAATATTTATCAAGTTGTATGGATCCGTGGACAGGATCCATTATTGTAGTTGTGCCAAACTCCTCTGATTCTTGTGGTGTAGCCATCCGTGCTAATGCCTTTCTTGGCCAAAGAGCAAAAAGCTGCACACTGTTACAGGAGCCCATAAAATTGAAGAAGGCTATACCTCTGACTGTAATAGCTCAAGGTATAAGCATAACAAAAACAAGCTAACCAGATACATTTGACCTATCACAACAGTGAATCCATATATGGAAATGTTATGAGTAAACTGAGGCTGTTTGAATTTCAAATTACAAACAACACATACAAATGGAATAGAGTGATGTTAACGCACATTATCATGTACAGGTCAATAGAACCAGGTACAGCTCAACATAAATCAGTATGCAGTGATTGGAGCTACAGTAGCAAATGTAAAGTTACTTCAAATAAAATGAATAAATTAATAAGATACTACACTACTTCCTTATTACTATAATATAATTTTAAAAATATAAATTAGCAAAAACTTCAGTGCAACATTCTTATTGGGTTCATTAGGGCCTATATCTAACATTTATATTATCTACTATTTCTATCATCATAATAGAATGAACACATCCTTCAATCAAAACTGTTAAGGTACTGAGTCCACTATAGTCCTATCGCTCCTACTACTAGGATCACTGACAAGCAAAATAGTCCACTGATTTTATCAACATTGATACAAGTGAATCCATCCGTTAATGAATAAATGAATTGAATGAATACATACCATAAATTTTAGATAATTTTTGCAAAAGGCTGCATGGCTGAATAACTTTTTACCAGAACTATGCCAGGTAAACGCATTAAATTTTGCAATGAATATTTATAATACAAAACACTGGTAAAGTTAACACAAGTAAACACACTAAACACAGGTAAACACAAGTAAATAACATTAAACACCAGTAAACACTAGGTGATTGTGCTTAATGCTTAAGGCCTTTTCACAATGGCAGTTTAAAGCACTTTGATGATTCAGCAGAAATAATGCACATTGATCTTGTTCACACTAGCATTTTGTGTTCTTGTGCCATCATTGGTTTACAATTGATCACACCGCATCAATTTGAAACTACTCTAGTTAATGCGCATTATCTTTGCCAGGTGAAAGGCCTCAGTAGGACTGTAGATACCAGATCATATCATCATTGTAGGAAGGCAGTCAACTATGGGGAACTCGTGGAACCGTCAACCCGGCTCTCAACTGGTCCAAATGTCAGTGTCAAACAGAGAAGTGAAGCTGCGACAACAAAGGGCAGAACAAGAAGCAGCAAGGGTTGCCACGGAATTACAAAAGCGGCAGGATCGGCTGGATTCGGAAAGACTCGAACGGGAAAGTAAAGAAACCCAGCAGAAGCTCGAGTTGGAAAGTGGAGAGAGACAATTGCAGCTCAAATTGCAAAGCGAAGCAGAAGAAAAGGAAAAAGATAGGAAGCTTGAAAGGCTTAAAATTGAAAATGAAGCGAAAGAAAACGAAAGAAAAAGGGAGCATGAAGAAAAAGAAAAATTAATAGAACTTGAAAGAATCAAAATTGAATGTGAAGAAAAGGAAAAGAAAAGGAAGCATGAAGAAAAAGAAAAGGAAAAAGATAGGGAGCTTGAAAGATGCAAAATCAAAAGTGAAGAAGGGAGGAGTATGCAGGTAAAAATTATAGAGCTTGAAAGGCTCAAAATTGAAAGTGAAGAAAAGGAAAAGCAAAGGAAGCATGAACGGCTGAAATTGGTAAGTGAAGCAGAAGAAAGGGAAAAAGATAGGAAAAGTCAAGAGAGAATTGCCATTGAGAAATGTAGATCCAAAAAAGAAGTTGCTAAGGAAGAAGCTGCAAAAGCTAAAGAAGAAGCTAAGTCGAAGGAAGAGCTGAATAAAATGCTGGACAAATTAAATACCGTAAAAAATCCACGGGCAGCATTGATGGTGATTGGTGGAAGAATCCGGTGTGATGATGGCTATAATCCTGCAGAAGCCTCTCATCGTGGGATGAATATTCCACAAGAAGACAACAGTCTGAGTTCTCAGTCTTCTCTGAGTTCTCAGAATTCTGATGGCATTGTAAGTACTAATGCTAGAGAAAATGCACCTGACGATCCATTCTTATACAATGAAGCACAAAATGAAAGGTGGACTAGGGTACATGAGAGGAAAGTAAAAACTGCTATATATTAAGAACCTAGTGCTATTTGCCTACCGGCCAAAAAACTTTATATATACTTTTGTGACTTTGTTGTACCCTCAATTTGTTTACTGTTTTTTGTAGTGCATATGTACCTATACCTTTGATGTTGTAGTTGTAACAAGTGAAGTATATAGTTGTATAATGTTTATTTTCATTAATTATTTTTGTCTCTTAAGCAATTGTATGAAGTTATAAGGCAAGACCTGTTACAAAAGAATCTCCTTAAATTGCATATAAGTATAGGCTTGTACATAAAAGATAGACCATATAGTTTGCTATTGGAACCATGCAATAATAAAATTATTCTAAATAATAATAATAATAACAATAGTTACTAGACGAATGTAAAACATTAAAGGGGCGAGCCTAAGCAAGCGAAGCAATGCGCATACAATAGATCTTGACAGACTAACAATACTCATGGATGTGGATTGTGCATCCTCAGAAGGAACTTGATAGATGTAGTTCTTGATAATCTACCTTTGTAACGTCTGCAGTAATTCAAGTTACCTTACTTATAGCATTAAAAATAGCTCAACCAGTCCGATTTTTGGCTTCTTGCAAGTTAGCTCAGGCTGTCTCTGCCTGGCTGTGACTTGATCAGAGTTATTTACATCAATGAAGAACATGGTACATCAATTCACATTGTTTGATAAGAAGATTAAAATTATAATAAATCCAGCTCTTAGCCTGCATGCATATTCAGACCCCAGCCTCATGGCCGGGGTCTGAACAGAGCAAACACACCAGTTAACACAACCAAAATAACCCAGTAAAAGAGACAAGGATGAACTTATTGAACTATCCTGTCACTTTGAAAAAAATGTGCCAAGCTAAACTTTTAATCAAGCTTCCATCAATTAACATCTTTTTGAAATAAAACTACTGAAATAAAATCAACCCAGCTCTTAACGTGCATGCATATTCAGACCCCATCCTCATAGTCCGGCGGGGTCTGAACAGAGCAAACCCACTATTTAACACCACTGACCAAAATGACCTAGTAAAAGTGACAAGAATGAACTGTCCTAATACTTTGAGAAAACTGAAGTGACAACTGAGCTAAGGCTTCTAATCAAGCTTCTCTCACAATTTTAATTCTTTCAATGAGAGGACTAATCTAGAGGAGTCTTAGATCAAACTGCTTTTAAGTTCTTCAGCCTTTAGAGATGCTTTAGACAGCCCCTCTCTCTTATCTAGCTGTTAGAAACTCAATCTGAGTTTGTCACGTTAAAATTTCCGCCATCTTGCTCTTATCGACCACACCTTCTAGATTAATTTTTGCCCACGTGGTCCAAATTTATCAATAATAGTATACTAATTTAATTTTAATTTAATTTAATAAAGATTTTACAATAATGAAACAAAGAATAATAGTACAAATGAAAGTAGGAAAATGCGATGAGAGTGCAACATTATTGAAGGGTTGCCAGCAAGCCCTGCTGACACCCTAAATACATAAAAAGCTGATTGGGTAATA